TGTATGGGGTCTTACACCATTTAGACCGCTTGCTTGTCCTTCGAACCTTCCTCCGTGGGGCTGCTACAATCTCTTCTGTTTGCACATCCCTTGACAGAGCTTCAAGGATTTTCTCCACCTGATGTGAAGTATTAGCAACAGCATGGGCAGAACTATCTACATTCTTATTTTCTCTTCCAACATGCTCCTCTTCCCTATACACAATCTCCGCCTCTTTCTGTACATTCTCCTCAACCCTGCTATCTACATTCCCCCCTTCTCCTCCAACAAGCTCCTCTTCCTTCTCTGATTTCCTATCTACATTTTCCACCTCCTTATCTACATTATCCACTTCCCTATCTACATTTTCCTCCTCCTTAACTACATTATCCTCGACCTTGTTATCTACAATAACCTCCTCTCTATCTGAATTCTCCCCAGCTTTATTCTCTACATTATCCTCGACCTTGTTATCTACAATAACCTCCTCTCTATCTGAATTCTCCCCAGCTTTATTCTCGGGGGGTTCCGCTTCACCATTCTTCTGGGGGGCGACATCCTCCGCGTCTTCCCCTTCTATTATAGCTTTCCCCTCAGCTATATTCCCAACATCAGCTCCTTCTTCCGTTGAACCAACAGGCTCCACAACTTTGCCTTCTATTGTGGTGCCCTCCAAATCAACTTTACATCCATGAACAACAACATCATCAACAGGCTCCTCAGCATCATCCTCAGCCATCTTATGTTCAGCTTCTTGCATGATGGGGTCTTCCTTATGTAATCTACTATATTTGGAAGGTTGTTCCTCCTCATTAGGCCGTGGATTCAGCTTCATTTTTTAATAATTTTTTGTTTGATATTTGCCTTCAGCACCGCCGGGTCTATGACGTCATCAGGTCTTCTAAGTTATTCAATTATTCTGTTTAGCCTGTTGATCTCAATCATAAATTCTTTACAATATGTACTCTTGCTCTGCTTTGTGGCAAAGAGTAGTCGTTGGAGGAATTTAGCAGAATTTCTCCAAAAGGTAAGTTGCTGCTCAATGGGTAGATCCTTCACCTCCTCTTCATCTTCAAAAGCATTGTCAATATGTTTTGACATGATCTGAAATTATTAAGAGATTATATTATCATAAAATAGGATTATACTGACATGGATATTGTTTACATTTAGCTTTAGACAACTTAGACTTAACAGGATATTTACATAGCCTATTGAGAAGTTCTTCATTTCCCCCGCCCTCGCCTTCCTCTTTAACTTAGGCACATGAGGCACTCCTTCACTCCCCTGAACGGCGGGAGGTGCAACAACCTTTGAAGGAGCAGGCCCAACTTCCACAACAGGCCGATCAACTTCAGTTATTGAAGCTGATTTAGCCTTATATTTAACGGTCCTCGCCCACAAATATGAGATTTTAACCTCCTTTTCTGATGCCCAGTTTGTCATTGGAGGTCTGGACTTGTCGACGTAGGGATATTTCTTTAACCCCGTCATCTCGTAATACCAAAGCTAAAGCAAATACATTATGCATTCAAATCAGAACTAACAAGGCATAAATTAGAGCTAACAAACAGATACTCCGTTAGAACTATTGTGACCCCAACTAGAACCTAGAACTAGCATGCCTCCTATTAGAACTAAGGTGAGATGCAATAGAACTAACCGAACTTTATTAGAACTAACGTGACCCAATTCTGAACTAACATGATGCCATTTAAGGCTTAGCAGCATGACCCAAATAAGGACTAACATGAATACGGCTAGAACTAACAAGAGCAGAAACTAGAACTAACGTGGTGAAAAGTAGAACTAACATAGCAGAAAACAGAACTAACGTGGCATAAGTTAGAACTCACATGGCATGAAATATAGCTAGAATGAACCAAATTGAGTAAAACATGGCACTTACACACAAAAGTGTCATGCAACCTGGGACATATGTGACCCCTGGCGCCTTCTTGCACTCCACAGCAGCTTTAATCCCCCTGTTAATTTCTGTATAAAAGAATTGACCCCAAGCTATCTTATTGACCCTCTCAATGCTATCCAGATATCTGAGTAGAGGTCTAGGGATACCCTCCCCGCTTCTGGGGCACCATATCATGGAGCATTGGTACAGAATTTGCAGCAGAACAAAAATCTCGGATATCATCTTCTTCTGTAGACTCCACGAGCCTTTCCAGCTGCCCTTCAAGGTATCTTCGATGGGTAATTGTTGCTTTTTTTAACTTCTTCCCCTCTTTAGTTTTAAAAAGATGAGCGAAGTATTGCAACCATAATCTGTTTGTTGAGTCCCGGTTGATATGTATGAGATCCCCATAAGCTGGGAAGTATGTGTGGTTATGGACCCATTGCAAATCAAATTTAACACTTTTCAAGCCCCCAGTCTTTGAATCAGGAATACAAAATGTGTCATTGGCCCTATCATAATAACTCAGCAGCAGTTCAAGCGTGGGGCGATCAGGCCCAAGAGCCCCGAATAAAATGTAGTGCTGAAATATCGATCCGCGATATGCATCCCTGTGGCACTGACGAATCTTCGGAGCAATAGACTTCATGAATTGCTAATAACCCGTGATATTGACGGTTAGCCTTAATGATTCAAACAGGTTAAATTCAGCAAGCCTTTTCCTGTAAAAATAAAAATTTTAAGTTCAATTAGAACTAACGTGAACTGAATTAGACTTAACACTAAACGACATCTAATAGAACTAATGCCGACTGTTATAGAACTAACATGGACTCAAACTAGAACTAACATTGCTAGCACTAACATTAAGGCACGACATCTAATAGAACTAACGCCGACTGTTATAGAACTAACATGGACTCAAACTAGAACTAACATTGCTAGCACTAACATTAGGGCACAACATCTAATAGAACTAACGCCGACTGTTATAGAACTAACAACGACTCAAACTAGAACTAACATTGCCTAGCACTAACATTAGGGCACATTACTTCGAAACCCCAAATAGTGGATACCTAGCACTTACTGTTTTTCTGGGGGGGGGGGGGTACGATGGCACGGCCAGCCCTTGCCGTTCTTCTTTGGCGGTTTCGCCATTCTAGGGCTTGCTTTTGCATTACCATGAGGGTTTGAGTGGCTTCCTCTGCGCTTCCAACCCCAGGCGAATCGTCTTTTTCCTTCAAATCGCCGCGATGAGAGATTTCATATTCATTTACCGATTCCGCTTCCCTGGACGACATTTTCCGGCTAAAAACCTAGATCGTGAAAATAAACTCCGTCGCTGGAAATGGAAGTTCGAGAGTTTCGGTGGCTCTTTTGTATTTTGGAAGAAAGTAAAAATAGAGGCGGGGTAAAAGAGGCGCCGTAATCGAGTCCAGTCCATTTAATGAGATGTGACGAGGCGTCTGGGGACGAAGGAGAAGGGCAAAGTCGGGTTTTTACAAAATATAATAGCTCTGGCTGTATACAGCTGACGTGGAGGGCCCTAGAAATATTAGAGGCTACTTTTTGGGGCTTATACACAAGGGGGAAAATACACAAGGGGCCTCGTCACACGATCTTTCAGCTTTTGGGGCCCCGACACATTTTCCCAAATTTTAATACACAATTTGTCTGGACAGCTTCATTTGTTAACATAAATTTTTAAGTAAAATCAATTTAATAAATTGTATGGTGACAAAAGTCACCTCACTATTTCTAGCGGATTGAAAAAATTTAAAATATAAAATAAATATATTTGCGTGCAGAGCACGTGCTTTAACTAATTAGTGTAACAAGTCTTTAACAACCATCATATCACTAATGACTGAACTTTATACCAACTAATGATGAATACTGAATGAGCCTATTAAGTGCCCTTTTGTTTTGCCTCAACTCCGTGATTCCTTTTGCCCTTTCCTCTCTGCAAATGGGAACAGACCAATATCACTCCCTCTAGAGAAACGGACCACATCATCATCACCATATCCATAACCCTGACTTATTTATCATAATCCTCCTCATAAAAGATCTCCGTTTAGATCTCAATTCAGAGAGGTGGGTCCCACTGATATCAGGGATGTGGTTTCTCGTGTGCGCTTAAATTAAATTTCTATCAAGAACAAATTCAAAATTTGAAAATGGGCATCGTGTAATAATATAATGTGTTTTTTCCCCGGTGTTTGGTGCCGTTAGGGGGTGGACAGCTCAGTGAAGGACAAGTTCAGTGCCCCCTCAATGGTGGTATTGTTATATTTTGGACATAACGGGGTACAAACGAGAACAGGGTAGTTCACATCTTTATTTTATTTATTAATTAAATTTTTATTAGAAACTGTGCGTGTTAAAGAAAAAAGGAGCCTGAAAAGGAGATAAAGTCACAGGCGACAGGAACAAGAGTCAGGAACTCCCACAAACGAAAATTGAAATTTTACTAATTTCTTAGTAGGAATTGTGCCGTTCAAATAATGCACTTGACAACAAAACATTTACAATTTTGCCACTTAACCAGCAAAATAGGTAATTCTTGCAAACCCCCCGCAAATAGGTAATTCTTGCAAACCCCACACCCCCAAAACTTTGGGTTCATTTATCACGATACCCCCTTGAACTTTGTTTTTCCCATGTTAACTTGATACCCTAAAGTATAGGGGTATCGAATTGTTAATAGCCAAATGTTAGGGATCAAAGTAAAAAAGGAATAAATTTGTTGTAATAATAATGTTGGAAAAAAGAACTTTAAGGTAACAAAATGGTATATACTTTAGGCTATCAAAGTGTCAAAACACTTTAAACGTTAAAGTTAATAAGATATAAACTTTAGAATACTAAAGTGCAAATAGCTTTTTTTCTTAAAAAGATTAGTTCTAAGAAAGAAACCATAACTAAGAGGTATTTTGGTCATTGATAGACCAAATTGGGAAACCCTTTAGGATTAGAGGGACTAGAGAGCAATTATTGGGAGCAATTATTGAGATTTGAAGGGACTACGATGGAGTTTTTGGAGAATTAAGGGACTAATATAAATAATCTAAATAAGAAATATAAACCCCATCGCTTTACTTTCCGAATTGTTCCATTTAATTCCATTCTTCCTCACTTTTTCCAAAACTCCATCTACTACCATTGACTCCTTTCGCCCTTTCCAAACCCCAAACTTTACACTTCTTTCTTTCCTCTTGTCTCTCTCTCTTTCTTTCCATCTGTTGAATCAAATGGGTTCCTCTGTTCCTCTCTTCACTACCACCATACTCTTCATCCTCTCTCTCCTCCTCAACGCCAACCCTTCTTTAGCTAACCCAGAGCTGAGAACTCTAATGGAGCTCAAGGCAGCTCTTGACCCAGATGGCAAGCTTCTCTCCTCATGGAGCAGTGAAGGAGACCCGTGTAGTGGGAGCTTTGAAGGAGTTGGATGCAATGAGTTTGGTAAAGTTGCTAACATTTCTTTACAGGGAAAAGGACTCTCTGGTTTTCTATCTCCAGCTCTTTCTCACCTCAGGAACTTGTCTGGGCTTTACCTTCACTATAATGCTCTCAAAGGGGAGATACCAAAGGAGATTGCTAACCTCACTGAGTTGGTTGATTTGTATCTTAATGTTAATAACCTCCTTCAAGGTTAGTTTTTGTGACTGCATTTTACCTTTTAGTGCAGATTTGAGAAGTTTGAGCTGATAAAAATTTGATTTTGATGTGTTTATGATGTAGGATGTTTTTGAGTTTGGTTTGTGTTACTTTCTTGGGTCTTGTAATTTTATGACATTTTCCTTCCCGTGTTTAAATTTGAGTAGTTTATAGTGAAAAGTTTTGGGCATTGCTTGCTTTGTTTGGAATTTGTTCAAAAATTTCTCCCTTTTTGGGGTTTGGATATTTTCCCCCTTCTGTTACGTTCGCTTTTGGGTTTTACATTTTGCCACGTTTTACATGGATTTTGCATAGAAATTAGATTTTGATTTTGTCTGCATTTGGTAATTAAAATGGGTTGTATGATGTGGGAAAGTTCTCCCTGTAGGTATCTGGGTCCTGTAGATTCATGGGTTTCTCATATTTCACAAAATTTTGGCATCTATTTGTAAAATTTGCGTGATTTTCTTGAGAAAGTTTGATTCTTGCTATGTTTTGTATCTTTCCGCTGCATTTAGATTATTGGGATTTTCTCCTTTTCCATAAATAACTGTAATTTCAGTTTGTCTACCTCTATTGGTGTTCTTTGCATGTTCAGGAGTTAATTCTATGATCAGATGTTTATTCTGCATTTATTTCTTTCCCCTTTAGTTTTTATGTTGTTACTAAAAATAGCTTCAATCTTTCGTGTTCATGATCTGATTTTCATCCCTCGTGCTTTCTTTGCAGTTCTGCAGCTTTGCTATAATCAGCTAACAGAATGCATGCCGACCCAGCTGGGCCTTCTGAAGAACCTGAATGTTCTAGCTTTGCAATCCAATCATCTGACTGGTGCTATTCCTGCAAGCTTAGGAGATTTGAGTCAGCTAACAAGGCTTGATTTGAGCTTCAACAGGCTCTTTGGTTCAATCCCAGTGAAGATAGCTCAACTCCCTCGGCTCCTAGTACTAGATATTCGAAACAACACACTTTCGGGCAATGTGCCTTCAGGTAACTCACTCATTCTTTAAATCAATATGAAATTCGTTCTTCGCATGTGTCTCCACATAAACTAAGAGATCAGAATCTATTGTGGATGTAGAGTTACAGAGGCTAAACGGAGGATTCCAGTATGGGAACAACACCGGTCTGTGTGGAATTGGATTCTCAACCCTTCGTGTTTGCACTTCGGCTGATCTCATAAACCCTAACAGGCCTGAACCAATCAGTCGAGACCCGAATGCGCTCAAACCGCTACAAATTCCTCAATCAGCTAATCTTAATACTCAGTGCAATACAACCCACTGTTCAAACAATTCAAAATCTAATGCAGTAACTGTTACTGTAGGAATCACTGCAGTTTTAGTTGCTGGAATGATTTCTGGTTTATTAACTTTTGCTTGGTACCGTCGTAGAAAGCAAAAGATAGGTAGTTCACTAGAGATTTCTGATGGAAGATTGAGCACTGATCAGCCAAAGGAGTTGACTCGAAAGAGTGCTTTGCCATTAATTAGCCTTGAGTACTCAAATGGATGGGATCCTTTGGCTGATGGAAGAAGTGGAATTGGGTTTTCTCATGAGGTTTCTCAAAGCTTTAGGTTCAATCTAGAAGAGGTCGAGTGTGCAACTCAGTACTTTTCGGAGGTTAATTTGCTTGGAAAGAGCAATTTCGCCTCGACTTATAGAGGGATATTGAGGGATGGGAGTGTTGTCGCTGTGAAGAGCATTAATAAGACAAGTTGCAAAACTGAGGAGGCTGATTTTTTGAAGGGATTGAAGTTGCTGACCGTGATAAGGCACGAGTATCTGGTGGGATTGAAAGGGTTTTGTTGTTCAAGGGGAAGGGGGGAGTGTTTTCTTGTTTATGATTTTGTTGAAAATGGGAGCTTATCACAGTATCTAGATGTGAAGTGTAATGAGAAGGGAAGGGTTCTCGAGTGGCCTGTTAGGGTTTCCCTCATCAGAGGAATTGCAAAAGGTACCAAAGTTCTAACCTTTGGATTTTCTTTATTATATACATATTAAAAGATTATTTCATTCATACTGTGCAATGTGATCAACTTTTGGTATGTATTGCTTCTACTTACGCAACATAGAAAGGCTATATTCATGTTAGAGCAGTCCAACTACATTTCCCAAACACATCTCAATGTATGGTTCTTTCTGTAAAACAATGCAACTAGTTGATCTGAACATGTTTTTGATTATAAACGTTTCCTCTTAGTAATTTTGGTAATATATTAGCCACAAATTGGGACATGATTTATGAGTGTTAGTTTTGGATTGGAATAAAGAATCCTTAAGTAAAGATTTCAGTCAATTTGGGATAAAAAATTATTTATTTTTGAGAGTTAGATTTGGATTGTAAAACAATGCATCTAGTTCATCTGCAGATGTTTATTATTATAAAATTTTCATCTCGGTAATATTGGTCATGATTTTTGAGTATTATTCTGGATTGGAATAAAGAATCTTTAATGTACGGTCATGAATATTTCAATCAATTTGGAACAAAGAATTATTTATTTTTGAGTGTTAGTTTTGGATTGTAGAACATTGCAGCTAGTTGATCTGAAGGTGTTTTTTATTATAAAAGTTTCATCTCAGTAATTTTGGTAATCTAAGAACCACAAATAAACAAAGACTTAGGTACGGAATTTTGATAATTAGGCATGATTTTTGAGTATTAGTTTGGGATTGGAATAAATAATCCTTAATGTACGGTCATTAAATATTTCAATCAACTTGGTTATGCTCTTACAAATTATCTTGGTCAAAGCGTGGTAATCGAAGAATTAATCAATCTAGAAAGTTGGTTAATTAAATTTTGCTATATATTGATTTGTTTTTAATCTTCACCAAGATCCTTCTTCAACAAAGACTTCTAATTTCAAATTTTCGAACTCTTGTCCAGGCATTGAGTATCTACACAGCAACAAAACACACAAGCCTCCTCTTGTCCACCAAAATCTCTCATCAGACAAAGTCCTCATCGACCACCACTTTGCTCCCAAACTCTCTGGCTCCGGACTGAACAAACTCTTAGCCGATGATGTTGTCTTCTCAACTCTCAAAGGCAGTGCAGCAATGGGATACCTAGCCCCAGAATACACCACCACTGGCCGCTTCACTGAAAAGAGCGATGTCTATGCCTTTGGAGTCATTGTTTTCCAAATCCTCACGGGCAAAACACGGGTCACTCATTTAAGACTTGGTGCAGAATCTGGCAAGCTCGATGATCTAATTGATGAGAACCTCACTGGTAACTTTTCTAAGCAGGAGGCAGCGAAACTAGCGAGCATCGCGTTGGTTTGCACTAGTGAAGCTCCGAGCCAGAGGCCGAGGATGGAGGTAGTGCTCAAGGAATTGAGCAGCAATTAGCTCAGATTGCAATGCGCTGTTGCAACTAACATTTAGTGTACGCTAATGGACTATGATAACTCTTGTAGCCTGTAACCGTTAGTTTTGAACATTTTTAGTGCATTTGTACCTTGTGATGATGCAGCTCTTGATGTAGCAACAATATCCAAAATTCCATGGACTCATGGATGTGCCTGATGGAGGGAGAGAGATTATGTTTTGGGACTATTAGACAACATGTGAATGTCTCTTGTCTTTCCGTGTTTGGATGAATGGGTGAAAATTACTGTATTACCGTGAAGTTTGAATGGGGAATCCTTCTGTAGCTGTCAGAGTCTGCGCAATGCTGAATGTTGGTTGTGTTGGAATATTAGCTGTTTAGACAATAATTAACACGAAATTATGTTTTGAATAGACGATTAATATCAGATAAAAACATATTAATATTTTATCATAGAAATAAAAATTAATTGTAACAAAAAAATATAAAAAGGTTAGAAATACGGTCTGATGGTCGAGGCGTGCAAGACATTGTCCCAAGAATCTAATTATCCCCTCTCGTACAGGGCTACGTGACAAAAGTTCTCGGAGATAAAACAACCCTCGGTCAGGCGACCTCCTTCTTGTTGGCACGGGGTTCAAGAAGGCTTTGCGAATTCTTCTCAACTTTCAGGGAACCAGCAGAAGTGTAGTAGCAGAAGAATATTTTTGAAAAGAGAAGAGGAAGAGAAGAGATCTGTTTTTTCACACTGTGCTTAACTCGCATATACCAGTCTTTATATAGTTTGAGAGTCATGACCGTTATCCCACAAATCCCGCAGCCGTTTCGTCATTTAAGTCCATAAATTCGTAGTTAATACGTTTTAATTACTCGCCCATTTATTCTATCCGTTACAAAATATTTATCACGTTTTAGTTGTAAAAGAAAAACATTAATCACGTTTTTAATCTGCATCATATTAATTATGTTTTAGTTATTTCAATTAGCAAAAAACAAAATATAGTAGGTTAAGAGCCCCTCAATTCGGAGATGCATTCGTGTCCGCATGTCGTGTGCGCGTGCCACCCGACCCGACCCGAGCCCGAACCCGGCCCGGCCGGCACGCGCGTGTGTGGTGTAGAGCATAACCCTTATTTTCTCCTAGGCATAAGAGAGAAGGAAAAGGCTTATAAACACCACTCTTCAACCCGTTAGCTTGATTCCGCACGCGAGTGGATTTATTCCGTTGTTTGCGTGCGGTTCATTACCTTCGTAGCCTCGTTAATCCGCTTCGTCGTGTATCGTTTGGCTTCGGCGTTGTGGACTAACAATCGTGTCTGCATATGTCGCCCGATGGTCGGTTCGTCGAATCGGCGTTGTCGAGCTGTGTTAAGGGACCTATAGGCAGTTTTATACGCCTACAGTATTGAGGTTCACCCAGAAATGATAAACTTCACCTGCAACCACGAAGTGCACCCTAGAGCATCGAAGCTCGCCAAGAGGCCAAGCTAGTCATGCAAGCTAAGGTCGTCATGCAAGCTCAGTTCGTCATGCAAACTTCGCCTACAACCACAAGATTCACCCCGAAGCATCGAAGCCCGCCAAGAGGTCAAGCTCGTCATGCAAACCAAGCTTATCATAGTCGAGAAAGTTCAAAATATTTCAGACCCTATACAACCCAATTTGGGTCTGAAAACTTTGAAGGGGGTCTTGTAGACACTAAAAAATGCCAAAGATTAAAGCAAGGTTGAACCACTACAACCATGACAAGGCTCGTCATCATAATGAACCTTATTTCAGCCAACGAAGCCCATCATGATGATGAACGTCATTGAAGACAAAGTCCATCCGCAGACGAACCTTGTTAAACGACACCTCACCCCTCAAAAGACGAACTTCGTCATTGAAGACGAAGTTTGCCCAGAAACAAAGTTTGTCATTGAAGATGAAGTTCGTCCAGAAACGAAGTTCGTCATTGAAGATGAAGTTCGTCCAGAAACGAAGTTTGTCCAGAAACGAAGTTTGTCATTGAAGACAAAGTTCGTCATTGAAGATGACGTTCGTCCAGAAACAAAGTTCGTCATTGAAGATGAAGTTCACTGTTGCCATTATTGACGAACCTCGTACATAGCCGAACCTCGTCTTTTACAATTTTCAGAGGCTACATTTAAAGAGGGTTAATAACCAATAACTCACTCATTTAAGAAGAGTTAATGACCACTAACTCACCCATTTAAGGAGAGTTAATGACCACTAACTCACTCATTTAAATGGGAGTTAACGACCACTAACTCCCTCATTATAAGGGGAGTTAAAGCCTATTAACGTTACGATGTGCGCTGATTTGGTGGAGGCAGTTATGCCCCTCTACCCGTGATTGTAGCACGTCAGTTACGTGCTTAAACCCTATAAATAGACATGGGTGGTTACAGAGGAAAAGGTTCGGTCTTTTAGACTTTTGGCAATCATCAGATTAGAGCTCCTACGTATAGATCTGGAATTCGAATATCGATTCTAGTAGCTTTACGAACGTCAGAAGGTCCAACAATTTTTTTCTGATCGTCAACGGGAAGCAATCTCGACTCAAGCATCAAGGGAAGCATCATGTCGCCAACAAGAGCCTACGTTAAACAAGGAGGAGCTAAATTAATCTTCTATTCATCTGTAATCGAGAAAGAGAGTGACTGATTATAAGGGTTTCGTACCAAGTGATCGAACCCAGTTTTCTTAAAACAACAATGTTCGCGGGAAAAATCGTGTCTTTCTTCATTATTGATTCCATTGCTATCTTTAAATAACAACTTTTTGAGTTACAAAGATCCGGTCTTTTTATAAGATCCGGTTACAACGAAATCAAAAATAAAGAAAAAGATTACAACTTTCTCCTTTTATCGAACAAATCGCGAGCTCCTGTTTGCGGTCACTCGCTTTGTGGGTTCTTTGCCTGCGCCGGGGTTTATCCGTGGACCACCGCGAGATCTAGATCCGGTCGGATCTACGCAGTACGACGGGTATTATTTCACCAAGGAAATAATAGCCGGGGAGGATTAGTTCACCAAGAAAATAATCGTCCAAATCTCGGGATCAAAGGCCAAGCTTTGATCCGGAGTATGCCTGCGTAGATCTGAGATCCGGTCCTCTCGAACTCCTGCCTTATTTGGCGTTGACGATCGCCGAGCACCAGATCTGGATGAACAAGTCCTCGAAGTCCCAAAGCTTGGATCTTTTTAAGTTCTGAGTCTTGAATCCAGCAGGGCTTCGCCTCTCCAAATTTTCCAACCTTTTGAAAATGAGCCTACAGCCCTCTATTTATAGGCATTGAAAGCGGATCTGGGCCCAGATCCGAGCTGGCTCGGCCAGGTGGCTCGGCCAGGCCGAGACACTTGTGAGTGTCTCGGGTATTTTGAACATAACTTTCTCGTATGATCTCCAAATGACCTGATCCAAGATGCATTGGAAAGCTGACAAATAGATCTACAACTTTCATGTTTTGAGTTTCTTCAGATTCTAACGGGATCATGGTCAAAACAGCTCCACAATTTCCGAGACACCTTTGGGTGTCTCGGCCAGGTCCGAGACATCTCTGGGTGTCTCGGCGCTAATTTAGGCATAACTTCCTCATATGACCTCCAAATGACCTGATTCTAGATGGGTTGGAAATTTGACAAAAATATCTACAACTTTCCTGTTTTGAGTTTCTTCAGATTCGAATGGGATCATGGTCAAAACAGCTCTACAAGTTCCGAGACACATTTGGGTGTCTCGGTTCAGGCTGAGACATTTTGTTTTGCACACTTGTCCATTTTCGCCATAACTTTTTCATCCGAACTCGGATTTAAGCGATTCAAAGTGCGTTGGAAAGACGATGAGGAGTTCTATAAGCTCCGCTCTTGTTTAGATGACTCGGTGATTCACCTAAACATTGGTTTGATTCCGCGTGCGAGTGGATGCATTCCAATGCTTGGGTGCGATTTGTCGCCTCGTTAACCTGCTCCGTTGCGTATAGCTTGGCTTCAGCGTTGGCGGTCTTGTTTGGATACGTCGCCTGGTGGTCCGTTTGTTAAATCGGCGTCGAGCTGTGCTAAGGGACCTATAGGCAATTTTATACGCCTACAGATACCCCCTCCAAAGTATTTCAGCCTCGTTCTTTTATAGAAGAGTCTGGAATACTTTGGATATGATTATCCCATCCTTCGATTGGTTACGACTGGATATTTGGAGTGGCTTCCATTCTTGATTCCTTCTGTCCTCCAGGCTATTCGGTGCTTTGTCGAATGTCTGTAAAGGTTCCGGTGCTGCATTTATTGTCTGACCGTCTGTTGGAATTTTGAATTTGAAGTCGATTTTCGATTTTCTGACTTTTTAGCTCGAGTTGGTTATTTCAACATAGAACTGACCATCGGTCGTCGGCGTTGAATCTCCATTTACAACACGTTGTCCGGCGTTTGAGCTTCATTGTGACGCGTTGTCCGGCGTCCAAGCTTCATTGCGACGCATTGTCCGGCGTCTGACACAGTTTATACTCATATGTTTATTGGAGTCTTAAGAAGCAGTTTATACTCGTATACTTTTCGGAGTATTGATTCTTTCATTGCAACGCATTGATCGGCGTTGACCTAGGGTTACGCGTTGACCGGCGTTGACCCTGAATTGGAGCATGGATCTTATCCCAAGGTCGTTGGATGCTCGAGTCACGAGACCAACTCATAAAGTTGATGCGTCAATGACTCGCATATTTATAGGATTTTTGGCAAATCCTCAGCCATCAACGGGTTTGATGCGCCTTTACCGACTACCGTTTGAGTCGGGCTAGCATGCGGATTGTTTTAAGTCCGTTCCGCATGTGACGTTATGCTAAAAGAGTTAACTCTTTTAGTGCTACGATATTGAATACGTAGACTTCGTCTTTCTCCTGTGAAAAGACTAAACAGCAACGTGTATCAGACGTTGACTTAGGATTTTTGGCAAATCCTCAGCCCTCAACGGATTTGTCATGCTTTTACCGATTACCGTTTGAATCGGGCTTACATGCGGATTGTCTTAAGTCCGTTCCGCATGTGACGTTGTGCTAAAGGAATGAACTCCCTTAGACTTGATGCTACGACTTCGAATACGTAGACTTCGTCTTTCTCACGGGAATAGACTACCCGGCGACGCGTGTTAGGCGTTGACTTTAGGATTTTTGGCTAACCCCAAGCCTTTAACGGATTTGATTAGCCTTTACCGACTACCGTTTGAGTCGGGCTAGCATGCGAATTGTCTAAATCCGTTCCGCATGTAACGTTGTGCTTAGAGACTGAATCCTCTAAGACTTGTTGCTATGACTTTGAATACATAGACTTCGCCGTTGTC